TATTTATATAAAAGAAAAATTAAGTATATTTACCATTATTACGAAAATACATTTCAATTTCCGTTATTACACTTACATCTGTTTTTTCAACTCCATAGCACTTTTTTTTTATTGAAAAAGATAGTTTTGCCCATTTTCGATTTTTCCAAAACTGAATTCTTAAAAAGTTTCACTTAAGAGTCTTCTGTTTTCAAAACAGTGGTTGAAAACTAATTTCGGTTTTTTGAAAAACCAAAAATTAACTGAATTCAATTTTTCAAAAACCGAAATCGTGGTCTTCCCCTTAAAAACCCTTTTCCCTCCACTTCTTTCTCATCCACAGTAAAATTTTCCCCTTGGCCTCATCAGTCTCCACCAATGCAATTCTTTCTTGTGCCTCATGCTCTTTTACCCAAAAAAAATAAAAAGCCTAATCTAAATATTGGACTTTATTTGATGCATTTTCAGATCTACAATGACGGTATGTTTATTTTTTTTTACATGTTGATTTGAGGTTGAATTTTAGATTTCTAAATTGTATAAGATGTTGATTTAGGGTTTCACAGTTAGTAGAAGAAAGCCTACTCCAAATCGACCTCATTTGACGGTTTTTCGTTACTAGGTTTAATTTGTTAAGAAGTTCTTGATGGGCAGAAGGTCTTGTTGGGCACAAATATATTTTGATCCATTTGTCTCCCATTTCTAGTTTTCTGTTGTAGCACAGCACAGTACATGAATTTGAACTGCATCCCCTTTCTAGTCTTCTGGCAACAACATAAACACATGTTAGCCACTAAAATTGATATAATACTATCTTAAGATAAGTCAATCTTGTCATATGTGATTTTCAATTGAATAGGGGCTAAAGGCTAAAGTGAGAGAAGATACCGTTTTTGGTTTTAAAAAAACCGAAACCATGAGAAAATGGTGGTTACTTTACAATAACTTACTGGAAATTGAAGTTGAGTTTTTGGTTTTTCAAAAATTGAAAGCATCAGATTTTTTATTTTTCAAAAACCAAAAAATCTAGATTTTTTATTTTAAAAAATTGAAAATATTAGTTACTTTCCAGTAACTTACTGGAAATTAACTGAGTTTTCGATTGTTCAAAAACTGAAAATAAGATATTTTTTTGAAGGGTGTGGTTTCTATAATGTTGCAACCTTAAACAATCCAATTAAAACGCACCTCCAAATTTTATCATAACATGTAATTTTGGTGCAAAACATTCTTAGGATTATCTAAAAATGAATTTTCACATCTAATTATAAAATTTTAAATTCCAAAAATGGTTAAAATCATGTTGATCTATAAACATGTGAAAATCTTGAAAATGGACGGTCTAGATAATGTGTTGTAAGATGCACTATTTTTAGGACTCAAAATCGTTCTTTTATACATCCATACATCTAGATGTCGAGATGATCAATGAGAGGGTCTTTCAATATTAAAACAACCTTTTCCGATGGATTTTTGAGATGCATATGTAATTCTTCATAAAGTTGCAACCTTATATAAACTTTTCCTTTTTTTGAAAACCAAAAATCTCTTGTTTCCCGACTTTGAAAAACCAAAAATAGGCACTTCTACCTTCTTTTTCTTTTTTAAATCGTTATAATGGTGAAAAAATGGATATAAATGTAATAACGGCAACTTTAAGGTATTTTCGTAATAACGGTAAATACAATGGATATATGCATAATTTTTCCTTATTTAAATACTATTAAAATATTATATATTAAATATTATATTTATATTAAATTATATAATAAAATATATTATATTACATAAATATTTATATAATATATTACATAAATATATATTATATGTAATATAAATAGTGTATTTTATAAATATATTTATGTTATATATCATCTATTACATAAATAAAATATATTATATAATAGGAAAATGATCGCTAATATACCCATATTTTCAAGAAATTGGAAAAAAAAACCCAACTTCCCAAAACCTCACCCACACCCTTTTGCCCCATTTTCGTGAAATTTCGAACAAAAATACCCTTTACGGTAGTCGTTGTACCGTAAAAACAATTACAGTCATTTTATGAGGTACTAAAAGTATCATAATAGTTTTTTTTTCTTAATTATCGATTAATCCTAAACTTAGGCTATTACGGTACTCTTAGTACTGGAATATGTTTTAAGACCATTACGGTCACAAAAAGACCCTAAAGTCCATTGGAATTGGTTCATAGTCCACTGGAATTCCAGTGGACTTTGGACCATCACAGTCTTTTTGTGACCATAATGGTATTAAAAGACATTACGGTACTAAGAGTACCGTAATGCTCATTACAGTACTCTTAGTACCGTAATGTTATTTAAAACCATTACGGTACTAAAAATACCATAATATTTTTTTTTTCTTCTTATTTTGCAGCATTACGGTACTTTTAGTACCATAATGGCTTTTTTTTTTTTTCTCTTAGTTATATCGATTGACCAATATTGGAGCATTAAGGTAGTCTTAGTACCGTAATATTATTTAAAACCATTACGATACTAAGAGTACCATAATAGTTTTTTTTTTTCTTCTTAATTATATTGATTGACTAATCTTTGAGCATTACGGTACTCTTAGTACCGTAATGTTATTTAAAACCATTACGGTACTAAAATCACCGTAATGGTTTTTTTTTTTCTTAATTATATCGATTGACCAATCTAGATTACAGTATTAAAAATACCATAATTGTTTTTACAGTACGACTACCGTAAAGGGCATTTTAGTCCGAAATTTGTGAAAATAGGGCAAAAGGGTGTGGGTGAGGTTTTGGGAAGTTGGGTTTTTTTTTTCTAATTTATTGAAAATATGGGTATATTAGCGATAATTTTCCTATATAATAAAATATATTATCTATAATATTATTATATATCTTATATATAATATATATTTATTATGTTATATAAATAATATAATGTATAGTATAATAAATAGAATAATTTTATTAATATATATTTTATATAATAAATAATATATAATATAATACAAATATATAATAATATATAAATAATATAATATAAATACAAGGAGGGAGGCCAATGTGGTTTTTGATAATAAGGTTTGAGTAAGAAGCAAGGGCCAAAGGCCAAGTTCCTATTTTAAGTTTTATCCTTTTAGCTCAAACCTTTTTGTTTAAGCACAAGGGAGTAAGGAAGTTATGAGAGAACTTCTATATTGTATAAGTTCTGATCATCAAACATGGAAGTTGTACAGTAATTGGAAACTTCCTTCTTCCTCCCCCTAACTATCTGTGGTGTGTTTGATAACAGGAATCAAGAACATGAACTGGAAATTAGAAGTTATTGAAGAACTCTAAATTAGAAGTTACTTAAGAAATTAATGGTTTTTTTATTTGATAACCTCCCTGGGAAGTAGTTTCTGGGTTTGATAACTCTTGGGATATATGGTAAATATCTTATATTTATATTTACATAGACAATAATTTAAATGGAAATATAGAATATTTATAACATACTATAATGTATGATATATGATAAAAGGTGGGAACTTCAACAGTAAAAAGGAGTTCTCAAATTATCTTCCACTTTTTATCAAACACGTAATATGAATAGTAATAAGTAAAGTTCATTCTTCCTCTTCTAACTTCCTGTTATCAAACGCGTCCTAAGAGAGTCCCCACCAAGTATCATGGAATCCCCCATCCTTCTCTCTTTCCATATCGATACCCCTTGCAACAATGCTGCCAATTCAGCATGGTTAGTAGTTGCCGCACCACATGGACCAACATAGCTAAGGAGGATAGCGTCTACATTGTCTCTGCAAACCCCCCCAATACCACCATTGTTTGTATTTCCAAAAAAAGAACCATCAAAGTATATCTTGAAGCTACCCTCAATCAGTGGACTTCAACTCAACCTTGGTCTAATTTCAAGTAATGATAAGTTATTAAGTTTTACAAATTATGAAAGACATTAACTCTAGAGACCCCAAAACTTTTCGTAGTGACCCTGAACCAATTCCACATAATATTCATAATTCTATTTTGAGCTCTTGAACTAATAAAGACACACCATCAAAAGTTATTCTATTCCTTTCGAATTATAATTCCCAAATAATAGCACCTTTCATAATATCCCATATCAAAACCCCAAGTTTTTGAAAGACAATAGAGTGACATTGTAGTTTGAAAAAATATACTTAACTATAGAAAGATAAGTTAGAAAGAGAAAGAACATGGTTCGAGATAAAGAACTCAAATAAATTTGATGTTAAGCAGAAAAAAAGATACTGTTAGAGACTTACATAATATATAGATTGAGTTCAAATAACATAGATTGAATTCAAATAACATATGTGGTGCATGCACTCAGCTAGTAAAAGTGAAAAGCATTATAGGTAAAAGAAAACAAGTTGGGAATAGTGGACATGTTGGTTTGGTGTCTGACCATTGGACCCAGTCTATTGGACTAGCCCGTCCACTGGTCCATTGCCTGTTCACTTGGCAACTGGTTCACTGATTTCAGGTTTGACCTGGGCCGTCTAGTCCGGTCCTTAGTTCTATCTCTTCTTTATCCCCCACCCCTCTTCTCCTTCTCTCTTTGCTCCATAGGGGTAGTGATGAACCCAGACCCTCCCACGGCACGATGGGTAGATTCGACCCTGGTCCAGAAATGGGTAAAAAAAATCAGATCTGATGGGTTCGGACCACGTTCAAATTTTGGACCTGAATACTATTTAGGTCCAGATTCAAACGAGTTTGGATTTGGGTCCAGGTCTTATATTATATTTTTGAGTCCCCAGTATATTTAATTATATAAATATTTTAACTTTTGGGTAAAGTCTAGTTGAGTTCAGATCGGGCCCAAGTCTTACATTGGGTCGGGATCCAAGGTTAAGTGACTTCAGGTCTGGGTCCCATATATTTTGAACCCGACCCGACCTGACCCGACCGATCATTTGCCACAGCTGGCTAGTAAATTCCCACAGGTAAAACACCGCCCCCCCCACCCAAAAAATCTGACTACACTATATTAAACAAGGAACTGGTTCTCTGTTGTACCTTGTAGGCGAAGGGCAGGGCTCCATCCATCGAAGCGAGGAACCCTTTTTGTTGCAAAGACTCTCATAATAAGGATTACTCAGTTTCAGAGGAAGCTCGCTGATAGCACAAGATGCAACATGATGAGGTTATATGGCAAGTCATTCGTCACAGACACTGCAGTTTCATGGCCAAGTATATCCTCTGGTCTCTCATATAGTTTCATGGTTTTGACATGATTCCGTTGATTTTTGTGTGCTTTTTTCTCTTGTCTTGTTTTCCTATGTGTTGTTCTGAAGATTTTGGACTCGGATAATAAGAAATAAAGGGTTTTTGGGTTCTAATGTTTGTGGGTTTTGCTATTATATTTCCCCTTCATTTTTTCTATGGATCATAGAAGAAATTTGGTTCCATATTATGATGAAGAAAATAGAATTTTGCTTCGGCGTTTTTTGGGTTTTGGTGAAATTTGATTTTGCTTTTTGATTTTGTGGGTTTTCCTTTGTTTTCCATTAATTATTCCTTCTGAATCAATTAAAGGATTTAGGAGATGATTAATGGCGTAGAAAAGGAAATTTTTCTTATTATTTTCTGGGTTTTTTTTTCTCTGGTTTACTTGGGGGATTAATTTTTGTTCGGCAGAACTACATCTCAGAATTTTTGCCGAAATGAGTACAATGTGACTGGTCTCTGTAACCGAAGTTCCTGCCCACTTGCCAACAGTCGGTATGCAACAATCCGTGAACATGAAGGTGAGGGTTGCTTAACTGTTCATTTTAGAGAATTCCTTGTTTATTTTAGTTGACTATTCTTTGTTTTTAATCTGCTCTTGTTTAGAAAAAGAAGATTATTAACTATTCAATTGATCTTAGGGGTGTTGTGGGATTCCCTAATGTAGTTAAATGCAGCTCTTCTTACTTTCTTTTAATTTGGTTTTAAGCATGGACTGTTGTTGTTGTTTCTTTTCTTTCTGTTCTTGTTATTGTTCCTCTCCTTCTTCCTAATACTATTATACACTCTGCTCAATTGAAAGCATTTGGGTCATGCTTTTCTTGTTCTTCCCTGGTTTTGGGGATGTTAGAGGTTCATGGGGAGCTCTGCATTTGCAATACAAACATTTTGGTTTGTTGTCCTACAATCAGGAGAAATTTTTGCTGCTGTATTGAGTTAATTGATTGTGGTTACCACGAGGTGTAAAAAAGAATATCAAAACTTATCAATCAAAATAAAAACAAGATGTAAAAAAAGAGCAGACCAAGACTTAATGATTAAAAAAAATGTAAAAAAAAGAGTAGATTGAAACTTACTGTACTTCTTAACTTTGAGTGGTTTTGTGTAATACATAGAGTTTCAAATCAGACTTTAGCTACGCATGGTAGGGTAGGAGTTGGAAACCATGATCATTAAGGGTACCCTTCTCCGAAAGCTCCGCGGGACCACCTACCCCTAGTCCTCAGCCGGAGGGGTTTACTGCACAAAAACGCCGGGACGTTGGCTCCCACAGAGGGAAGCCCAATGAATGTCAGATGCAAAGCCCCGCACCTGATTAAGATCATATTGGCATACTCTCCCAAAAGAGAAAGAGCAGACCCCATTGAAGACGGGAGTGAGGTACAACAAGACCATTTCCGTCCATTGCCCTTCTCATGGAGCCGTACGTGGACGTTACCGCTCATACAGCTCCCAGCCAGCCAGCAGATAGCCTTCCTCTACAAGGAATGGAAGTCTGGATGAATCGACATTAAATAGATGAATTCGGTTTTTCAGCAATGGGTCAGCATGGGACTCGTTCTAGTGCACAAGTATTACGTGTTGTCAAGATGGCAACACAATAAGTTTTTAGAAGGTTGAAGCGCAAAATGCTGTGCCCCATGTGGTTCTAGGAACAATTAAATTCAATTTTTATTTGAAACTCAAATTTCCTTCACTTTCGTCTAAATTACTGGTGCTTTCTTTGTGACGTGCTGTTTAAATCACACAAGTCTGCTACTGCTTTTCTGGCTATCTGATTTCAGGCAGGTGTTTCGTTATTTCTTTTGAATTTAATAGTCCTTGTTGCATTGAGACCCTTTGTCTTGGTGCAATGGTTTGGCTTCTCTAGTGGCTGGTGCATTAATGACTCCTCTCATTTTGAATATTGCAAGATTGGTATTCTTTCCCTTAGCTGGGAGATATCTGGTGTTGTTGCCTAGAGTCCTGAGTAGTAAGGATTTTGTGGGTGAACTGGTTCTCATGATTTAAAGAGCTTGACCCTCACAAGCACTGTCATATTCACAAAGTGATTTGGATAAAGAAACAATGTTGGTCTATTTATATTGATCTGCTTTGGTGGTTGCGACTTTGCTTTGGGTCAAAGGAAGCTTTTGGAAGATCACAGCTTCGGTGGGTTCTTTAGGGGGGAAGGAGTGAGTGTTGTGTTGTAGGGATAGCTGTGCTGTGAACAGGCCAGGGCGCTGTTAAGAGGTAGGTTAAGATTTGTTGAAATCTCATCGTATTCAAATCAATGTTCTAAAAACTGGACTGGTGGGGGAATTGAAATGGGCACTAGTCTCCAATACAGTTGGACAGCCAGTCCAATTGGTTGGACTGCATAGACAAAATCATTTTTTAGTATGAAAGGGAAAATAGAGCGAATGGGGGTTAATGTGGATTCATCAGATAGTTTCGAGCGCTTATCAGGAGAAAATAGCTTCTCTAAATGGGACCAGTTTCCTTATAATTGAATCAGGAGGTCCAGATTGCTCTTCACAGTGATAATTCAAAGTTGTTAAAATGAAAAATGACAAGGCAAGTTGTATGGGTGCTACAATGCCTAGTTGTGCTGATATCGACCAAAAAATTGCTTTATTGTGATTGGATTGTCACTTTTTCTGTCATGCTGTCCACTGTTGCTGATGATGTGCTTCATTGATTCTGCAGGTATACTCTATTTGTATATGAAGTCAATAGAAAGGGCTCATATGCCGAACAAGTTGTGGGAAAGAGTGAAACTTCCCAGGAACTATGAAAAGGCACTGGAAATTATTGACAAGCATTTGGTAGTTTTTGTGTTCTTCAATTACCTTTCCTTGTTTGTCCATTTTTTAACATATTTAACATGATATAAACTGAGTAGCAATCAAGTTTATTGTGTTAACATGGAGTTTATTATGGAAATGACAGCAATACTGGCCTAAGTTTCTTGTCCATAAAAACAAGCAACGTCTCACCAAAATGACTCAGTATCTGATACGAAGGAGGAAACTTGCATTGAAAGTTCGGTATGCATTATCTTTGTTTCCCATTTCTAGATTTTAAACATATTTCATGATATGCATGATCTGTGACACATCATGTGTACGTGGTATTATATTATTTCCCTCAGATTGGATGAGTAATTACCATCAATATGAATTATTGTTGAAAAACTTGAAGCTTTTTACCTTCTTTTTTTTGGAAATTAGATGGTGAAGGTTTGTATTAATGTTTCTTCCTCTAATTCAACAAGGTAAGCAGTTTCTGAATTGAATTAGAGGAAGACAGACTTGAATGTAATTTCATTGAATACTTTGAGAACCTTGCATGGCCAAAGACTGCAGATAGCCATAATCAGATGTTAGAAGTTCATTTTTCTATACATTGGGCATAAGCTATACTTGGGGTGCAAACACTGAGTAACATATCTACTTTTGCCTTTTGATTTTTTATTGAAGGGAGAAAATTTTGACCATGCCTACAAAGCAGAAGAAAAGAGAAGCTAGAAGAGAGGCAAAAGCAGAAATTGCAGCTGTTTTGGATAGGGTATGCCCTTACCGTGCGTACTTATATAGTTTTCAACTATTTTATGGCTCCAGCTATTTGACTTATTACATCTTCTACAGGCTATTGAAAAAGAATTGCTAGAACGACTGAAGAGTGGAACATATGGCGACATATACAACTTCCCTGTCGAGCAATATGAGAAGGCAGTTGGGAAAATCGAGGTTGCTGGTGAAGAGGAAGATGAAGAAGAGGTTTGTTTGAAATCCTAACAATGGTTGATTTGCATAGAGTGATCTTATTTGATAGAACCATTTTGCTTGTATGAGTGAAGCAGGAACCAGAAGTGGAGTTTGTTGAAGATCCTGAGCTTGAGGAAGAAGAAGAAGATATGGAAGATTTTAGTGGATTTGCGAAGGATGATGCTTACATGAGCGATGATCATGGTAAGAAACTGTTATTCTGCAGTAGGGTATGATTCTGAATAATGTCCTATGCCTTTGATGCATGAAGCAATTTATGATTGTCTTGTGCATAATTATTGATAGTTACATATGTGGGTAACAGGGGTAATGGATGAAGAGCCCACCGATGACGGAAAAAGATCAAAGAGATTGCGTGCAAATTCAAAATTAGATGAAAGAAAACTTGAGGCTGATGGTGGCAAGGCAAGTTTGAAAAAGAAAGCTCGAGAACATGTGGAGGTAATGTCATTTTCTTTTTGCATTTGGATTGTCCATGCCAAATGGTCTAAGAAGGGTGAGGACCTTAAACTTTCCATTAACCTGTCCCAAGCCCGCGTAAAGGAGGTGGGTTGTGCTAGGTAGGCAGCCAATGTAAAACTTTGCCAAAACTTTCCATGAATCCGGAATACTGGTCAGGATTCTCGTAGCCGACCTCAATTAGTTGGAAAAAGGCTATGATGATCATTGTCCATGCCAAACAATAAATATAAATGTCATAGGAATGCATGCTTTTATTTATTATTTTCATTTTTTTCTTACTTTTCGCACGCAAAGTGTTTCTTCTTAATGAGTACTTTAGTATTGAAATCGTAGCTTGTACTTCGTTTCATAGTAATCAACAGCGAAAGACACTTTGTGTATAAAGGCTTTTCTGCATCATACATTTGCTGGAAAGGATATTTCACTTGTTGTTTATGACAATATCATGCATGGCTGAAGAAGGCTGGGCCTTGGGCACCTGTTTTAAAGTGTCCTGAGCTCATGTGCCTGACCCAGCCAATACCCTCAGGCTTAGTATATTGTTATCTAAAATAGTTGGGGTTCGTTCTCTTTAGCTCTAAGAGGGTTAGTGAGTTCCTTGATAGATTAAATTTTGTTTTCGGAAAATTCCCTTCTAATCAGGTCTCTCCTCATTACTTAATGTCTTAAATGTGATTCTGTAGAGCAGCTCTCTAGTTACCTTTCAAAAAATGCACTGACTGCTTTCAACTGCCTCAACATATTGAGAGATCACCTTCCTATCTAGGATCAGATTTAATATCCTCACCAAACCTATGCTGGGGATGTAAAATAGATGGTAATATTGTTGAGTGTTGTGCGTGGTTATTGGTAAAAGTTAAATGGAGGATGATGATGCTCAACATGTTCAATCATGGAGTGCCTGAGGGTGCTAATGGTGTCCTAGTGCCAAGCTAATATTAAGTGGAAGTGAGAGGTCAGCCACCACAGTTCAACACCCTCCTTCCTACCTAACAAAAAGATGTTTACTATGTATTGTTTGAACTGAGGAAAAGAGGAAAAGTGGCTATCTGGGGGTGCTTTCAAATTCTGTGGTTGACAGAAACTCACATGCACAAAGTACCAAAAACGGTGTACATCGAGCAACTTGCTTCTCCAAAAAAATTTCCTTTGGGCCTGAAATTAACTCAAATTCATTGCATGGTAAAATATGTTGATCGCATTGATACAAACACAGTTGTGGCACCAAAAATAATGGTACCATGCACTCTCTGGAATCTCTCTGAATAATTTTCGGAAGATATTTTGTTTGAGAGGATGTAGATCTGAATCTTGTACTGTATTTGGTCGGGTGTGCTGGTTGTCTTGGATTTACTTTCATCAGTTTGGAAACTATCCCTAAATACAGATGTCACTTGTGCGAATTCTTTTTGAGTGTATCTTCTAAGTGGGGAAACTGTCTAGCAATCTTGGGAACCGTCAGCAAAATGTTTTCGTCAGTTGCATGGTCATTTTGTGCATTTCATCTCTCTGTTTCTCTTATGTTGCATTAATATGTGCCACCCATCTGGAGAACGATGTGTGTGGCAGTACTTGGTTTCTCTTTCCATTTGTTTGTATTGATTTCTTGCCTTACCTTAGCACATTATTTATTGAAATGCGATGATTTCGCCATCATAAACGTTGTTTGGACATTATTTCATTGTTGCTTTATGACATTCATTGCACATGCCCATAACTTGTCTTCCTGGTTCTGTGGCTGCATCAGGTTGAATATGAAGATGGTGCTGACAAAGATAAAGCTTTTCAGTAGTTGGCAATCCAGATATTTCCAGATCGAATTTCATGTATCGATCCATTATGTCATGAAGCATTTTCCAGTGATTTTCGTTTCATTTGGTTGCTTTCTAGATGTCATTAGCCAATCCAAATCGCTGGCTAACGATCAAATTCTTTCAGAGCAGCCCTTACATTGAGAGAGAGAGAGAGAGAGAGAGAGAGAGAGAGAGTTTTGCAGGTGCTCGTCAGAGAGGATTTTGTTTTTTCTTTTATAGTTTTTTCGATGTTTATTCTCAAAGGTGTGTTGCATGGGTAGTTACTTAGGGAGGCTATCTGATGAGGAAGTCTGTTTCCGTCGGCTGATAGTCGGCGAGTGAAGCTTAGACAGTAGGGAAAGCCTCACTGCAGCAATTTTGAACGTTATTGTAATTTTGTAATGTGACCGTTTTTCTTACTTCTTGGAAAGGTAATTTAAATTACCCTGCCATTTTTGGATAAAGCCTGGCTCTATTCATAGCATTACAAATTTGCTTTTAGTTCCCTTCAAGGCATTCTGTTTATTTTCACTGTTAGAGTAGTTTTCATTCTCTTACACCATGATTTTCATTCAATTATGATGCTGCCAATAAGAGGTATACCCGTTCATCTTTTCCATGATTCTCTTGGTTAGCTTACTATTGAAGGGATCGTATACAAAGAAATCATTTACTTTTGGTATAAGAAAGTCACAATTACTTATGAATATTTGATGACTATTTGATGTTAAATATAATAGCTTGGGTATCTTTAAGGGAATTTTTTTTGAACTTTGAGTTTGGTCAATGGAATAAATGCAATCACTCAATTTTATATTCAATGGTCAAAATTAATTGTGACCACCTTGTATAAAAAATAAATGGTTTCATTGTATATTTTAAAAATGTCTTTTGCACTGTTTATGGATAAGTTGGGACAATGGATATTGGGTAGAGTAGCTAAAACTGTGGTTGTACCAAGTACAAGATATTTCCCTCTTTCCTTGTTTAGACATTCCATATTAGCATTCGGGTTTTCTATAATTTGTTCTCCTCCACCTAGGGGAAGGTGGTTGAGGAAGGTATTCGAAAATTGTCAAGATGCAGCAGGTGGGTAAAACCCTTTCTTTATATAAATCTTCTAGATTCTCGACAGAACCCAAATTGTAGCAATACTAAAAGGGTAAGGTTTACATTGAGCCTAGGCTCTAAACAATCAAATTAGAGCTAACCTTCAAATAGTTTTGAGAAATGTGGTTTCACTATCGTAAATCTTTGTGATAGATTCAAAATATATTTTTATATTTATTTATAAAATTTAAAGCTTCAAAAATAGTGGAGATCGATGGATCTATGAGAAAATATTGAAAATTGATTGTCCAAAAATGCATTATAAAATACACTATTTTTAAAACTTGAAATCTATTTTTTTTCATATGCATACATCTTGATGTCGGAGATCATCAATTAAAAAATATTTAGACATCAAAATAACCTCTTCTAGTGAATTTTTTGTGGTAGGCTCAAATTTGATTGTTTAGAGCCTCGGCTCTATATAACTTTTCTCGCACTAAAAACACTTACATTTTCCCTCTCTACAACCCAAACGGTAGCCATAACACAATGTAGAAAAAGTTTGCTTCTCTTTGGTATAAAAAGATCAGTCACCTCTAAGAGTCAAATGTATTGCATTGCTAGACATTTGAAATGGATATAATTTTCAAATTTCATGCAGGGTCTTTATAATATCATATTGTATAATCCCTAAAACTATATTTTAAAATTGGAGCTGGAGGGCGGAACTAGTCTCCAGCCGCACTGAGCCAATTTAGTTGGTTCCAATTCGGCTCACAATTATATGGGGTTTTCACATATTGAAAATAAAATGAAGAAGCTGGTGGAACTATTGGGAACTGGGCAAATCCAGGGTGTCTTTAGATCCACGTACTGGTTATGAGTTGGCTTGTTAGTTTTCAAAACACTGCCTTAGAGTTATAATCCCTTTTGTCTCATCTTTTGAACTCAAAATTATGGATTTCAAATTAATACAAAATTCCTTTTGGAGTTGCCCCAAGCGTGAAATGGAAGGGAAATTTGAGTCTTTCGTGGCGATGAATTATAGGTGCAATTTCATAAATTAGAATAAGTTAAATAATTTTCTTTTGAAAATGTATACTTACTTTTAGTATAAAAAGGTCACAAACATTACTGACCATTAAATGTGAAATCAAGTGGTTAATGTTCAAAGTAAAATTTCTCGCATATTGTGGCACTTTAATGTGTTGGAGTTCAAATCCAACGGGTACTGACCTTCATATATAAAAAATGAATGGTCTTGCAAAGCACAAGATATTTTTAAAATCATCATCTGTTATGGGCTCAATGAGCCCAAATTGTTATTGTTCTTGAGGACATAAGCCATATTCGAAGTTTGAACAAATTAGCATGAATATTTTCCATTTGAGCTCTGCGAACCCGAATGTCCAAAATATTTATTCCTCATGGGCGAGTGCTCCAAATACTAAAGAACACATTCCTAGTAATAATAAAAAAAGGGAAAGGTTTCTATACTTCCCATACAGCATAGAAGATCTATGCTTCCCTTACCATCCCGTTGTCCAATTTTGATCAAGAGAGCCACTCACCATTTGATATTATAACCGACGTCTCAAAATATTTTATTTTTAGTTTTTTTTGTACAAATTGTATGAATATGAAGTTTGGTATGTATCTTCTTATTGGGGCACACCTATAAAAAATATTAAAAATAATTTTTCGATAAAATATAATGACCAAAATAATACCCTTTAAAACTTTAAAGGGTATTTTGGCCATTTTATTTTTTTAGAAATATTTTATTTTATTTTTCTCTAGTGCGAGTTTAATAGAGGATTGGACGTACAAAATTTGGTATCAAAATAGTTTATAAAAAAAAAATAATTAAAAAATAAAATAATGTAGAGACGTGACATTGTAATTCGGGCAATCTTAGCCCTCCATTCAGAAATGACGGTTGGATAAAGGGAAGTATATAAGTTTTATGTTGTAGGGGAAACATAGAAAGCTTGCCACAAAAAAAAAAGTGGTAGATCGGCATCTCATGTTAGAGCGGTGTTTTATCTACTGGATCGGGTGGGTGTAGCCTTCCAAAAATCTGGGCTGGGTCCATTAACTGGCAATCTAGATCAATGAATCTGACCGATTCGCTTGTTTGTGCCTTGGTCCTGAAAAAATTTAAACAAAATCATCATCCGAACCTTATCCCAACTATTTAGAGATGGCTTCACAAATCATGTTTTGTCATTCTACTATATCAAGACCCATACCCTGAGTCAGACCACAAGTTACCATATCTCTTTACATTACATCCATCGATGTCTTTTTAAGCCTTCCCCTTCCTCTTGCCTTTTAGAACCTTCGACTTGGATCAAATTAACCCTCTTAATCAATATTATCCTAGATTGATGCACACAATAATTTGAATTTTAAAAATAAAAAACTAAAAAGAATAAAGTATAAAATGGGTGCAAATCAGGTGATTCAAGCATTCAGGATTGCTGGTAATTCCCACTTGTATCAAATCAACCCTCCTAACCAGCATCACCTAGGTTTAACAGAACCAAGCAAGTCTATTAGACTGGTTCCAGCTCCGACTAGCAAGTTAGTCCCCATCGATTCCCAATCCGGATCCCGAAACAGGACCAACAAATTTTGAAAGAGCGTCAAAGGACTCACTTCGAGATCACACAAACTAAAGTTGTATCACAGTCCAAGCGTTCACATAAACCATAATTTACGCACATGAAAACAACTCCCATTAGCGCCATGCCCGCCACTGTTAATTAGAGCAACAACTTTATATATTCAACAGTGTATTGATTCTATAAATCTTCAACAATGGTTTCGGGTGGATTAGACTGCTTAATTCAGCAAGCAAAACCAAAACCAGACACTAAGCAATCTAATCCACCCGAAAAGTAATGTGGATAAAATGGAAGATGCCCTTTGCGAAAAGACATCAAGAGGCTGAGGTCAAAGGAAGAAAATCATGTTTTTTCATCAAAAGAACACTGGATTTGACACTAATGGATAGACATCAAATCTATTGATTCCCAGTACTGACAAATGCAAGAAGGATAGCAACCATTAGCACCATGCCTGCCACTGTTAACATGCGTTATAATCAGTTTCGGCTCAATTTAGTTTGATAAATTGCATTTGGCCTTGGTCTTGCAGAGTTACAATGGGTAGAAGGTTTGGTGCTCCTGCATCAGCAGATTGTCCACTTGCTCATCTCGGTGGGGATCATATGTTTTACGAACTTTCCCTTTCTTAGATGGGCATGATTTCCAAACTTTGATATCAGAAAAGTCTGAAGCACGTGGTTTGCCCAGTGGAGCAAGTGTACAATTTGCTCCTGCGGAACATGATGCAGCCTGTCTTATTCTACCTACAACATTTGGCACTTGTTAGAGAAGACAAATGTAATCCTTACTATTTTCAGAAAGTGACACAAATAAGTGAAATAACTTTTTTGTCTCTTAGCTTTCTTTTACAGTAAGTAACCCATTTTCATGGCAATGAAAGCTATCCATCAAGTTGCACCTGGCGCATAAATAGAAAGCAGTAAGTAACCCATTTTCATGGCAATGAAAGCTATCCATCAAGTTGCACCTGGTGCATAAATAGAAAGTAAAAGATTTTCTTAAAGGAAAATTACAACAATTACTTGTTATGTGATCAATAGTTGACAGTATGGCAGAACCGCACATAGACTGAAAGTCAGGAAAATTTGTCACCCTCTATTGTTAACAATGACCCATAGGCCCTCGGAAGAAAATTTATCACTCAAGACCCTTTTTAGTGACCTAATTGCTGAAAACCCTGCCAAAGCAACACACATAATGAGGGGCCTCTACTTCCATTGAATATACCTCTGGCACAAAAGGACGAACACCTTTTATTTTATTTTATTTGTTTTTATTGAAACCAAAGGAAGAACAACTGATCTGAGGAAACATCAAACCCAAAGAAAATCAAAGAGAAATACCTCTTTGCTTACCTGTGATGTAGTGAATCGAAGGCCATAATTCAGACAGGAATCTAGAGTCTTCATTGAAAGAGCTAGTATGGTAACAAATGTAATGACTTCTTTGTTTGATCTGTTTGTGAATATGCAATCTCAACTCTAGAATGCAGAAAGCCACCTATGAACTCAGAGAAGCACTTGGATTCTGAACCAATAGGCTAATGAATCTCTTGAAGATTGAAGTTAAGAGAAGTATTCCACATCAATTCTTTTATTTTGCAGACATTTTTCCCAATGAGGTATTATTTTTACTAACATGTGTAGAAGATATACTTCCCTAGTGTGACATTTTCAATAATAAACCTCCTGAAGTGCTGGCTAAGAAATCTAGATAAATTAAGAACCTTCAAAGAATTCATATAAATCAAACTGATGAAGATAAGAGAACTGCAAAACTATGACAACTCAAAAGAGATGATTACCGTGGCTACTGTTGACTCAACACAGCTAGTTAATGTGTTGACTCAAAATATGAATCAAATCTTCCATAAACTTCCTTCTGTCTAAGCAAGAGATGAATGACTTGGAGTATTGATTATTTGGGTATGTCATGTTATTTCCTTTAAAAATTGTGGGGAGCTTGATCGCTAACTTAGGCCCCAAAATGGCATAAAAAATTTGAACCATGATAAACTATGCATATATACAAATACAATACATACAAATCTGTATACACATCCAGAAAGTACTTCTCTTAGAAGCTTTTTTCTTTTCTCTGATAACGTTAACTGCTGTATAGAGATTAAGAAAAATCGAGCACCCACAGGTCGAGTGCACGAGAAACATCTATCTTTATTTTAAGAACCTTCTAAGAATTCACATGAATTAGACTTACAAAGGTGTAAACATCCTCTCAAAAAATCATTACTAACCTGAATGATTGCAGACCTATAAGAACCCCAGAAGAGTTGCATAGAAAGTCATTGGAAGTATTGTAGATCCAACTTGGCTAGATATTGAGTTGACACACGAGTATCACTATACATGTATAATACACTTACAGAAACCTAAGGTTATGTCTATTGTCAGGACTCACCCACAATGGCTCATGCATGGCCTTTCACTGCAGCCCACATGCTAATGGTAATGTTCTTACCCCACTTAAAATTATGCTTCTATCTCTGGGTTGCATATAGTATGAAACTTGGACCTCAAGAGTAGTGTGCGTCACCCACAGTAGATGTAAAAAATTATCATCTAAATGACTCCATTCTTCAATGGCCACTTAAAGCATCCAAGGCATTGAAGCAATGAACATTGGGGGAAAGAAGATGGCATTGTAGATTCACCTACTTCTTGTGCCTCCCCGCTGATATTCAGTTGAATAACCAAAGTGCTCCTCAACTCAATGGTAATAACATTGAAGTATGTCATCACTGTATTTTTGCCGTAGTTGCAGTTTCAATCCTCACGACATGATGCCAGCAGGTTTCTAAGCAGAACAAGTTTAGGTGTGTCAAAGAAAATGGGCAGGCAATTGCGATGCATATCAGGAAGGGAACTTTTATAGAAGCATGGATTTGTCGTTTAAGTTTGGACATGAAGATGCCATCCCATGCACTTCGGTCCAACAAAATAGAGGCCCTATCTCTCCCTATCTAAGTAAAGCAACAAATACAAATGGGAAGTGTCAAAAAGTACCTGATCTCCCTAAAGAACTACATAGATATCGGGAGTCAATACCAGTATTTCAAAAAGCGCTAGGCAGCACCCAGGCAGCCATGGGGGTCCAGCCCGCCCAGCGCCTAGGCCGGCGCCTAGAACCTAGGTGGCTCAGTTAAAAAAAAAAAAACTGATGACTAATAATATGATTAATCCATAAGAATTTTGATAAACCATAAGACCATAATCCATAAGAATTTTGATAATCCATAAGACTATAATCCCAGTTAAAAAAAAAGAAGATAGAAGTCCAGAAGATAATTTTGATAATCGATAAGACTATAATCCACATTTTTATACAATGCTAAAACAATAAAACCATACAAGCATATACTGATAGTCTGATACACTGTAGACTATACACACAAAAGTTAGATAGTAGAACTAGAAACTAGAAACTAAAAACTAAAAATAAGAAAAAAAAATACAAGAATCCAGAAAATATACAATGTAGGACACAGTAGTCAACACTCAACACAACAGTCAACACTCAACACTAAGTGTCTTCAGTCATCATCATCAATATCGCCATCAAAAGGAATAGGGTAAGCTTCATCATATGCATCAGATTCGAGGCCATCATCATCAGAGTCATCTCCCGCTTCAATATAAGTAACGCTCGTCCTCCTCTGTTTCTTCTGAATCTGTCTCTTCCTCCTCCTCTTCTTCTACCTCTCTCTTACTAGTATGTGCAGATGAGGCCCTAAGAGTCTTGGCTGCTCTACCCTTTTATATCTTTTTGTGCTTCCCTAAACTCAAATATTGTATAATTTCTTCCCTGGTAGCCTCATGAACACTTTTACACGGGGCAACATCTCCCTTAGTATCGGCAAGGTGTTTTTTAAACTAGTAAATGACCTCATTAGTATCCTTTCTACAAGAATTACATTTAATACGATTTTTGTCATTTGGATTCGGGTTTTAACCATCTGGAGATGATATTTCCATAGAACAAAGCTCATTTTCATCATTTTTTGGTTCTTTTAAATTCAAATGTTGTCTAATCTCATCCCGAATAGCTTCAAGAACCTTTTTACAAGAAGCAACATTCCATTTAATACCAGCAATGTGTTTCTTGAATCGGTTAATACCCCCATTGGTATCTTTTTCACAAAAATTATACCTTACACAATTTTTATTGTTTGGTTTTGGGTTATAACCATACTTCCAACCCATATCACTTCTTCTAGAAGTAGCATAAATATATCTCTTCAAATGACAAGGATTTTTTTCATGTTTTTACTTTACAAAACTCATATATTGCTTAATCTCCTCTCTGATAGCTTCAGGAACGTTTTTACAAGCGGCAACATCCCCCTTAATATCGACAAGAAGTTTCTTAAACCGATTTATGCCTTTTTTTGTATCTTTTAACAAAAAATACATCTAATACAATTTTTATCATTTAGATTCATGTTATATCCATATTTTCCAACCAGGATCTCCACTTCTACTAGATCCTGAAGAAGACATCTCAAAATAAAATAAGCAATCTAAAAAATAAAGTTTTACACTTATTTTGATTGCTCAAACTCCAAATTCCCACTTCTGAGATGTTTTCTGGTGCTAAAATAATAAAAAACAACATCTAATAGAATTATAAAACTCCAACACTAAATCAAATCTACCTGGGTGATGTTTGGATCCGTTTTTCGTAACTTTGAGAAACACTTCGATCAAATGAAAGCCACAAAATTTAGTATTCTTGAGGTTTCTTTCTATCTAAAATGGGTTCTTGTGGGTTTAGGTTTCAAATGAACCTAAAACCCATCCTTAAAACCCTTTAAGTTTAAAAGAAAATCAATACAACGAAAGTAATAATAAAAAAATTCCGCCCCTAGGTGAGGTGCAGGCCATGGGAGGCCTAGGGCTGGGTGTTGGGCGCCTGCCTAGGCGGCCGCCCAGGGAATACCGCCCAGTTTGGCCGCCTAGGCCTGAGCGATGCACTCATGCCTTCTGGACCGCCTAAGCACTGAGCCGTCCGCTTTTTTGAACAATGGTCAAGACAACTAATTTCAAATGTTTCGAACACCCCTTTCGCAACTAAAGTGTGAAGCAAGGGTATTCTGGTAACTGTAACAATTTCGTAGAGATAATTACCATTCACTTTCCTTTTTCCTCATTGGTAAAGTGATTTATCAATGTGTGTGAGTGTACAAAATTGTTCCAAAATAAGACCAGGGTTCAGCACCAAAAAATGATTTACAAAAGGGACAACTATGCAAACAGTCCCATACTATAAATTCCCTCTTTCACTGATGTGTAATCTCCAATAACCATCATGCATTGGTTCTCTAAGTTACATATTTTTGCTTCATAGTGTGCAATGTTATTACTGAATGAACTTAATTAATGAATTTGCCAGTTTAGCTAATCCAAACCAAAGAGAAACTTTTATGAAGTTTTCATTATTAACAAAGATCTCAAAATCAAGTGAAAACAAAAGTGAGATTTAGATATATAGAAACACAGATATGAAACACATGTAGACATACAAAGTAAGATTGAATGTCCCATCAATCTCCAACACTTGTCGTATTTATACAATGTAATCAGCAAGAATGTCTACTTGTCGATGTTGCAGTACTTCATGAGAAGTAGTCTTGAACACAACAGCTACAGAAAAAGACTTCCAGTAGAAGTTACAGAACTTCCAAGTAAATCTCCACAACCATGTAAACTAGGGCTTCCTTGTCTCTGAAGACTCCTCCTTATTAGACTTTTCTTATTAGTATTATATTCACTGAAATTAAGTTCACATGGAGGTTTATGATGTACTGAACTCGCTAGAATGTAACCGAGGACCAAGGAGTTTACCTGCAGCCTCATCATACAATATCATGCCACACTAGAAAATAGACATTGGAGTCTCTCTGTAATGGAGGTGCTCCACATGGTTGCCTTTGCCAAGTCTGAAGCATCCAGGTAACACATACACATACAGGGAGATACCAAAGCCTGGTACCTTTTGAATCATGACAAATGCTTCAGATGTATATTGTTATGAATTCTGTGGTAGTACCAGGGCCATTAGCAACAAATAATAGTAAATGTTTTGCAACTACTTGTTAAGAAAGTATCATTTAACTAATGAACAAGAAGGTTCCAGAAAAAATCCTTCAACTCCACTCAAATAGGTACAACTGATGAATCCAGCCTGTTGCATGAGAGTGATATAGAGGTGCTTTGAGAATCAACGAAGTGGATGTGAACAAGGAGATTCCTGATATGGCTCTGAGATTTTTCTCTATCCATACTAGATTTTCATAAATATGGTTCACCATTCCCTTGCATATAGTTAAGTTATTGTCTAATCAACCATACAGATCACAGCATTACAGCCATCAGGCTCTTTAAGAGTGAATTAGTTTTCTTGGAGATCATGGATCTTTTGATCAATGGATTATGCAATATAGAAGGTTTTTTCTTTCAAATTTTCATACGAATCTAGCCTAAATGAACCATTTTGCAGCCTGGGCTCCACCTACACGCCTCCCTGAATAATCCATGTTGGACATGTATTGAGGACCCAAAACTCCGAGGATCCATCATCCAGACCTCAACCATAATAGGTTTCAAGAAAAAAGCCCCAAAAATGATTGATCTTGTACCATTTTTCCTGGACCATCCATTTCAATTCATGAAAATCTGTCAAAACTAGACCATTTTCAGAGCTCCAAATCCATTATTTAAAAGTGGAAATGGATTTGCATGGCTTTGAAATGGCTTTTGAATCCTCAAACAATAAAAAACTGGGGTGGGGCGCACCTTATCCTCTCTGCACACATGCATACACATGCACAAGCCAGTATATACATGCATACAGAAGAAGATTACATACGCCCAGAGCTAATTCCTACCGCAATAGCAAACAGGCCAAAAATCCTAACAAGAAAACCTATATAGGGGGATTTGTTTGAGCCCAATTTTGTTTACGACTCATACTCATCACCACAAACAAGCTCCTGAAAAAATGGACCCCCAAAAAATGTTTTTATTTTTTAGGATAGAGAAAATGCAGTGAACGTCCTTCCTCTTAGAAAAGTAAAGACTCTGTTAGATCGAGGCAATACAAGGACTGTTTCATTCCAAATTTTGTAAATATTCTAACCATCACCAGATGAGCAATTTTTTAAAAGAATTGTTCTTAAGGCTTCTATATAAAATGGACAGCCAATGTTCAACAAATCTTTCTCTCCAAAGAAATCTGTTTTCTAGGTTTTCTTTTTTCCCTTTTTCTGAAAAATATTCTTCACTAGTTCAAGGTAGTGCATGAGCAAATTTGTGGTCAAAGAAATCCCCATAAATAGGCTTTCCTTAGGAGTTTTTTGCCCATGAGCTAATGCTATAGAAATTAGCTCAAATATATGCAAAAAAAATTTACCCAGGCAAATGAACGACATCACACAATCGATAGGAAGAGAACAACCAAAATTACATGAACATGGACATGTTGAGATTCTGATAAACAAGATAAAACAATGGAATCTCAAGATTACATCATAAACGATTTTGCACAGCTCATAGCTTTAATTTCCGCTGAAATTTTACAAAGATCACTACAAAAGCAGACCCAGAAAAGGACTTTTCTTCTGAAGGGTAAAGGTACGATTGAAACTCAAGACCTCTGCTATCAGAATGCAAACACGAAAATCAATATTATGCTCCAAAATAATCAAAACCACGCTAAAACCGACACCGTGCTCTCCATCAGCTGCATTAAATACAAACCATGCCTCCATTCCATTCAATATAAAACAGCAAGCCCCGAAACCAGAGACTAACCATAAAAGCCTATAACACAGCACCATGAGCCTATCACCAAATGGCTCATATGGCATATGGGTCTCTTCAAAGCTCAATTGAAATTCACAAAAAGCCTCATCATACCTGTTATATGCCCATTAGTCATACTTCTCTCTCCAAGAACAAACCAGGAAGAGAACCCAAGAGACACCTAAGATCAAGTCCCCAACAACCTGCCTTGGCCAATCTCTAGCCAAATCTTCAAGCCTCCTCTCAAAGTAAACTCTCCAGAAAGCCATTAAAGCATGTAATAATATGCACCCCTTTGCAAAGAAGCTCTGAAATTCCCTATCCTTGACGAATGAAACCATAAACAAGATGAATCCAATTCCGAAAAGAAGCAATCCAGAAAAGGATTCGGCAGTTTGAATCAAGAGTTGATCATGTGGAGTTGATCCAAGAAGCTTGCTCGCAGTCTCACTTCCATAACCAAATACAGAGATCTCATTCAAGTAAAACATCATCAGAGCTCCACAAGTTACTGCAATTGCAGAGTGAAGAAGGCAGAATACAGAGAAACTGGAACCCATCCAAAAACCTAGAGAACTCGTTGTCCTTCAATCCAAACCCAATTTCTGAGGAAAATAAGAACAAAAAGGATACTAAGAACCAGAATTACAGATCCATGAAAGCTGCACAACAAGGAGACCACAGCTGACTTCGAACGCATTCAAAAACCTCAAGAACTATTTGCTTTTGTAGCCCTAACCCCAAAGCCTAGAAGAACTGATTGTGAGAAGAATGAATACACATCTCTGAAAGTTTGAGAAAAAGATAAGTTTATGAAAGCCAAGCCTCAAACCAGTTACTGAAAGCTAAATCCCTTCATAAACCCCTGAAGAAAGCTAAACAACTGAACAGGAACTCAAATTAGCGTTAGTCTACACGAACAATTTCCAAATGCGTTAAATCTAACCAAAAAGAGCAAAAATCGAAACAGTAACTTTCAATTACAAACATAAATCAATACAAAAGGAATAACATGGAGGAGACACACATATCCAGATCCTGAAACCTTATCCAAACATACACCCTAATATTCACCATAGATACCCAAAAAAGGAAATTTTCACACGATCAGATGGAGAATCGCCATCAACCAGCATCAACTGAAACCTAAAATCCTATCAAACCCTAAACGGGAGAATGCTCATGTAAATCGAGGGAAGTGCTATAGCAATAAAGGAAACTGCTATTTAATAGAGCTTGAATTGCCATTAAAGCCACTGTTAAAAAAGGAGGAAAAGAAGAGCCAAAAGAGCTCAGATATAGAAGCGCAAACGGGTTGAGAAAAAACGGAAATTTGCAGGAGGAAGAAGGGTCTCGAGAAGAGTGAAGAGTCATGTGGATTGCCATTTCATGCAAGATCGTGGGCTCTCATTTCCATGACTGTTTCCTGATTTAATTTTCCTTTTAATGGAAATATATTTCAATTATTTGTGAACGCTAATCGAGAAAGAAGCAGATAGGTCCGTAACATACCTGCAAATTTCAGCTCGTTGCCATGGTGAAGGCTTTATGATTCATCTTCTCTCTCTTCATTTTCTCCCTCCATCTCTTCACTTCGCGCTACTCTCTCTCTCTTGTCACCTGTAACTCTCTCTCTTATTCTGTTATCTCCTTCCCGTTGCCTTCTCTCTTCTCTCTCTCTCTCTCTCTCTAAACGTTACACTTGATTTCTCTCTTCTCTTTCTAAACGTTACACTATCTTGAATTCTCCCTCTCTCTAATCTCGAATTCTCCCTCTCTCTAACCTCTCTCTTCTCTGTAACTTTTTCTCGCGTCTTTAGAGTAAAAAGACTGTGAAACATTTCCACTGACTGATTGCTCTGTCCTCTCTGTCAAATATTACAGCTTCTAGTTATTTTAGGGTTTGTCGCTTTCCTGACTATACACGTTTTGCGTATGCTTCTCATATGTGCTATCAATCGTTCCTCTCATGAGTACACGCTATGGATTAACTAGATTGAATAGAGACAGCCGCTCATGTTTTCCGCCTTTGATGAAAATGGACGGCGGATGCCGTAGTATGTATCGCTCATCTGTGCATGCAATGTGAGCTATAATGTTGCTGTCTTATATAAATTTTTTTAACAAGTAATGCATGAAAAATGACAGGGTTTTTATGTTGCTGTCTTATATAATTTTTTTTAACAAGTAATGCATGAAAAATGACAGGGCTTTTATGTTGCTGTCTTATATAAATTTTTTAACAAGTAATGCATGAAAAATGACAGGGTTTTTTTATGTTGCTGTCTTATATAAATTTTTTTAACAAGTAATGCATAAAAAATGACGGGGTTTTTATGTTGCTGTCTTATATAAATTTTTTTAACAAGTAATGCATGAAAAATGACAGGGTTTTTATGTTTCTGCCTTATATAATTTTTTTTAACAAGTAATGCATGAAAAATGACAGGGTTTTTGACACCTCAAACAAATAGCACTGTATTTAATTGCAGTCCGCTCATTTACAAGATTGGTTTTGGATCTCAAATTTAACTAGGGCCTATCAGAATAAGTGAAACTTCATCTCAACCTCAAACTCACTTAAATTTGTAATTTTGTTGTCAAAAAATTTTCAAATCAATTATCTCGACCTTGACCAGTATGGTTGTGAAAGAAAATTATGATTTCAAACCCTAAAAATAATGACCATTCATTTTCAAGTATCCACAGATCCATAAGATCTGTCTCATTTTTTGAATTATAAATTTCATAATCAGTACCACAAGATCTGTATCATTTTTTGAATTATAAATTTCATAATCGGTAGTAAAAATTAAATGTTAGAGTCATCATAAAGATTTTTTATGCTCAAAATGTTTTTCAGGCGAAGTTTTAAGATGAGGTTTTACTTATTTTTCACAAGGCCTAGGCCATACTAGAAAAAAATTAAGTTTTAATAATTGATTATTTTAAACTTTATTCTTACGATATTTGGACACCTCAAAATAGGTTGTTTCTGTATTTCTTCTTTCTATTTTAATGATCATGGTGATCGATATAAGCAACGAAAGGGGAACTTTTCCCCTGCGCATGATACACAAACCCAGCAAAAATAAAGAGGAAATTTAAGTGTCATCTTATTATAGAGATGGATTTTGAATGTTAAGTTTCACAGGTAAATAATCTCAACGCTCATGATTGTGGTTTAAACAATTTATTGTTAAAAGTTTTTAAAAAAAATCTAATTTTTCAGATTCATGATTGTAGTAGTTGAGAGTCTCAACCCAAAAATTTTATTTTCGAGAATCAATCTCTAAAATATATTTTCTTTTTTGAAGGATACACACCTAAATCCCATCCTAAATACAACCATCTAATTTTTGAGCATGTATACCATGCTCCCATAGTTCTATTCTCTCGGTTAGAGGATCTTTTCAATATGAAATTTTGGTAACCACCTTTTAAACATTTGATTATTATTCCAAAAAAAGAAAAATGAAATCTTAGTTTTCTAAAACTTAGATCCCACCTTCTAAAAATTGAACGGTTTGTATTCAACCTTGATACATTATCTTTTTCAAGTGCTTAGCGGTGCAATTAGGATTTGATTTATTTATTGAGGTTAATCCCTTTGCTAAAGAGATTATATATTCAAAATTTGGAGTCCTAAAGTTAATCCTAGGTGGGGTTTTAATCTAAGGGAGTAAAAATATAATATATTCCTGAGGGAGTAGAATATCTTTTGGACTAACCTTTTAGTACAATAAATACAATAAATATGTCGACTCAGTGGCCTAGGATAATGGACCTGCGGAAATTTAAATCCCAAAACTATCTCCAATATGAATTTATGATTCTTTTTATAAAGAAAAATGGTTTGATAGGATTGCAAGGCATCGCCCAAAACTGCAATTCAAGTATTGAAAAACCTTTAAATCGATCATCTGGACGTCAATGTTATGGTTGTGAAATAAAATTAGGATTTCAAGTTCTAAAAAGTGTATACTTTAAATAAATTGTCTAGACCGTTCATTTTTCTCTAAAAATAAGCGTTCAAAGATCCGCAAGTCTGTACACTTTTTAAGTTTCAAAATTTGTTATCGATGTTGGATATTGATTTTAAAGCCATCAAGAAATTTTCTGTTGCCGAAAATGCTCTCCAAACAAAGATTTGAGGTAAGGATTTAATTGGTTTTCATGCCTAGGCCTCAGAGAAACTTCATACTTTTATAAATGACACATATGTTTGATGAAGAATTTGGGCAAAGAGCTGGGTGTTTCATGTTTAAATAATGGTGGGGTGATTTTAGGGTTTGTGAGAGGTATGTACATTCATTAGGAGGTTAGGACTCACTGGGGAATGCTAAAACCTTCTCTAAAAACTGAAACATTAAATACAATGCAATGGGTCAAAGAATGGTTTAAGAGTATTAAAGTTTTTCTCTTATCTTACCTAAAAAGACTGTCCAATAAAGATAAGTATATTGGGCATTTTAAAGGAGCCAAAGACTTTTATACTCCTGAGCGAGAATGCTGTCCATTTACGCCCTCAGTCGAAACCCAATTTAAGAGTATTTTTAGAATTATTAATTTTAGGGCATAACCTTTTCGCATTTCAACCGATATGATGTATTCAATAATAAGCAAATTTCGAAATTGCATTATCTATGGGCTTAAAAAACAATGCGTCAGAATAGAAACAATCAATAAGTATTAGAAAATTCAAAAGTTAATTTATTTATTTTTTAAGCATAATCATCTAGAATTTTTAGGTGGTTCCTAAAATTTCAGAAAAAAAAAATATTCTTACATTAATCTTCTGCATGAGGGAGTAAGTGTATAGTTTATACTCCTGCAGGAGCACAATATAGTGCTCTTCAAAGACATGGGCAGCCGCTAGAATCCAGTAAACCTAAAATAGTGGCAAGTGGATGTAGAGTATGATAAAAATATATAAAAAAAAGTGATCCTTAAAATACCCAAAGAAAACCTATCTTTTCATAAAATTTAATCTGTAATTTAAGAATGACAAATAGCTTTCCATCTTTCTAACATGCTCGAAGCAACTTTAGGGTATTTAGACTTTTGAAATCTTGGTTGATTTTTAACAATATGATAAGAAATATCCGTTTACTGTAGTTTTGGATAACGTGTATTGAATATTTAATTATCACCACATATTTCATTAAGTTTCAAAATGCATAAATATAATTCCTTGGGTCCAGGGGCATGGAGGAGATTATGGGGGTAACATGTTTGGTGCATGTTGCATTGACTCAAGGCTAGCAGAGTATTGTGATAAATATTAACTAGAAAAAGACATCCATTTATCATAATTTGAAGCACAAAACATTGTATGTGTACATTAGTGGTCAAGCTCAACGCAATTCAGACCATCATTTCATCATGTCGGTACATAAGTTTGATATGACAGAGGATCAACTTTTCTTCTCTTTCCTTAAATTTATTTTATTTTAATAATTGTTTCAATATGCGGTCCAGAGATAACTAACGGTCCAAACATTTATAGGATTATTATTTTTAGTTTTCAAAATTCTTTTTTTTTTCATATTCATTATCTCTATGTTAAAGATTATATATTCTTTAAAAATTAAGATAAAATTATATTTAAAAATATATTTATTATCAAGCGTGCATTTCTACATGTGTAGGCTTTGGCCACATGCTAATGGCACGTCCTCTTTTTTTTTCCCTCCAGATAGCTCAGTGGGGAAGGGGTCAATGGAATTGAAGGCATCATGATGTAATGCATCGCCACCTTGATTTCTAATCTCAAGTCCATTCTTCCAAAGTTTCAACCTAGAAAGTTAAAATTTGAGGATAATGTGGAAACCCACACATTTGGTATGAAATAGGGAAATTTATGTAAAGGGTGAGGTTTTTATAAAGTGCCCACCTTATTAAGTATAAGTAAGGCGCACCTCCTAATTTTCTCGAAAAATGTAGTTTTTGATAGCCTTGAAAATTTATGTTTAACCTTAATTTTGAAATTTAAAATTCCAAAAACAATCCAGATCAAGCAGATCTATAAAAACTTAAAAATCTTAAAAATAAACAGTCCAGATAATGTACTAAAAGATGCATTATTTGTAGGACTCGGAATTCCTTGTTTTTCTCTATATTCATCCCTCTTGAGGTCCAGATTCTTTTGTATTGGATTTTTGAGGTGTAACTTATTTCTATATTATAAGGTTGCAACTTATATAAGCTTTTATTTAAAAATAACCTCAAAATTTTATATTTTATATTTAAGTCTATTTTTTTTAAGAGTATATTTAGCATTTCAATTTAATTTTTTTATACATTTGATTGAACTCAAAATATACATTTGCAAAAAATATAAAAAAATAATAAAATAACCAAAATATATGTCTAAAAGTTTGGGGTATTTTTGTTATTTTGTTTACTTAACATTATTATTTTTATATTTTTAACAGGTTCATGATGATGGAAAATATAAACGCCTAAAATCGAACTTAAATTTCCGTACAGAACTTCAACATAATAAGAAGTAGAGGTTTTGCTGGTCAATTATGTTTCGATGCTTCAAAAATTGAGAAATTGAAACTTCTATTGGAGGTTAGAGACCAAAACTCTCCCACTCCTCGATCCCCTAGACAAACAAGGGAGCATAGATGTTAGGGTTTCGGCTGTTATTTGAAATAATATTTATCT